AACGGTCACTAATGGTGTGCCACAAGGCTCAGTTTTATGACCCACTTTTGTTACAATTTATATAAATAATGTAGGTCAAAACATTCCTGACGCATCCTTGCACCTCTATGCTGATGATACTGTTGTTTATTGTTGAGCTAAAACAGTGGCCAAGGTTTTCCAGCTTCTACAGTCTGCGTTTGACATCATTCAGTCAGACTTGTTCCATCTTAAGCTGGTGCTAAATGCTGATAAAACCAAAGGGGTGTTGTTTTCCAACAGAAAGTCAGTGCCAGTTCTTCCTCCTATCTCATCCATGCATGATTACGATTGAGTTTGTGGATTCTTACAAATACTTGGGAATTTTAATTGACGCACATTTCTCTTTTAAGCCTCATGTCGAAAACATGATTAAGAAACTGAAATTAAACCTGGATTTCTTTTTCAGAAATAATCTTGCAAATGCCAGAAAACGCCTTGTTACCGCTACTTTCCTACCGGCCGTTGACTATGGTGGCATTACTGACAGCTCCTTGCAGCTGTTTGATGCTGTCTGTCAGTGCGCTAAGATTCATAACTGGTTGTAACTACCATGCCCATCACTGCACTCTGTACTCCTTGGTCAGTTGGTCATCATTATCTGCACTGTTTTATTTTCTTCTTTAAATCACTTCTTGGTCTGCTACTTTCTTAGATCTCCTCCCCGTGTCACGTTGTCAGTGCAGTTACAGCGTGCGCTCTTAGGCCTTCATTACCTGCAGCGTTCCCTCAGTGCAGAGTGAACTTGGCAAAAAGGCCTTTTCTTACTCTGCTCCTGGAACACCTTGCAAAAAGATCTGAAGCTGTCCACTTTAATTTCTATATGGGATTTTAAACATTTGATAACATCAAAGCAAATATGTTCTTGTTTTTAGTATTTACCTTGTTTTATATGGCACCGTGAATGTTTGATGATTGTTTTATAACTTTTATTTTAATAGCATTTTTACTGTAGTTTATTGTTGTCTGTCTAAAACAAGTCTCTTGTAAATGAGCCTCGTGACTCAATGAGACTAACCTGTGTAAGTAAAGGTTGAATGAAAAAAAGTTGAACCCGTTGCAGGAGATTTAGTCAAACAAGCCAAATGCTCTTCCAGCACACGTCTTATTTAAAACATATTTGAACTTTGAACGGCCTCTTCTGCTGATAGGTTTGTCCACGTTTATCAAAAGTTAAACCATAAACAGATATGACATACCAGGAAATGCAGGCTTTATTAAAAAAAACTATTAACAAGCACAACAAAATACAAAGTAATAAAGGATTTCAAAAAAATATATAAAAAAAATTAATCTCTCAGTTTAGACTTCTCACCATCATGCTTACACATTAATGTATAACTCATTGTTTATTTCTTATTTTTCACCCTTACTTAACTCGAAAGGGAATAAAGTTACTTGTCTAGTTTGTCTAGTTCTCTTTTTTTCCCGTCAGATGTTTTTAGCCTGTCAGCGGTTCTTTCAGTTTTTAACAAACCTACAACAGAAATGCTCTTCGTGTGATCAAAACTGAACATCACACACGTTGCTCTGCAGCAAAAGCAGATTTTTTCTGTAGGCCTCTTTCTGTTTTGAACCTCATTCTAAAGAACGTTTGGCTCAAACCGTCAGTCTGAACACGGCCTCAAAGACACGATTGACTCTGCTGTTCCCCCTCATTTGGGGAAAGAACCGATCCATGCTGATCCAAATCTAAGCTAAAATTTAAAAAAAATAAAAAGGCTTTTGACACAACATGGCTTCTAGTGGAGCGTGATGGAGGCTCAGCCCATCTGTCTCTTTGACCATCCGTCTGTCACACACAAATGTTCAGATGCTGCTGATCAGTGTTGTCTCAAACTGAGATGGTTCTGTCTGCCAGCAGACATATTTGTATTTTTGATTCAGTTTGCCCCCAAGCTGGCCTTTGCTGGTCATACAACTTTCATTTTTTTGTTGTACGAAGCACCAATCTGGAACAAAAAGCCATCTGAATGTGCTATACGCGAAGAATATGGCTTGAATAATACATTTACTGTCGTTGTGATGATGTTCGGAGGAGTAAAGACTGCTGGGACTTTACTGTACAATTAAAAACTTTTTTTTTTTTTTTACTCCTTTTCCTTAGAGTTTTTCTCTCTGAAATAATTCCTCTCTGATGAACACTATTGCTCCCCTTTTTTGATGGAGGTCACTGCTTGTTATGGTAATTTCATCCCACTGGTGGCAAAGTTCATTTAAAGTAGGTTCATATAACATTCAGCCAGAGTCCCAGTCTCCCATGGTGGTTCTTTCATGTGCACGTGATGAGTGTGCACATATTCTTAGCGAGGACGCTCACCCCCCCAAGAACACATCTTGTTTTTGTTTGCTCAGCCAAGAGCTCGTCAGAAAATGGCTCTGTGCACGGAGCTCTGGGTGTGTGCGCTCCAGTTAACTCGTTCACATGGACGGAGCAACACGATCGATAAAACGGGCTCGAGTGTGAAACTACCGGCACCCTGGGGAGAGAGGAGAAGAAAGACGAACTGAACCGAAGACCTTTCTGTGTTTAACATCAACAACATGGGATCGATTTACATAACAAAGATCATCCTGTCGTTTAAATACATCTTAAACAGAATTAATACTGAAGGATCAATGGACTCAGTGCACCGTTTGCTGAAGTTTGTCTTTGCCCACCTCAAGTCCAAACAGCGTATGTCAGGTTGAGGTCTGGACTTTGACTGGATTATGATTTGCTGTTGCGTTTGGGGATCATTGTCTGGTTTCATAACCCAGTTCGACCCAAGCTTCAGCTGCTGGACATTTGACTTTAGGAATAATTTGTTCTGCAGAGGAGTTCTTGGTCGACTCAGTGTCCTCTGTCAGTGAAACAAGTGCTCCACCTCAGTGCTACAGCTTTGTTTGAGTTGTTATGCATTAATACCAACCATCTCCACCTTCATATTGACTCTCTAAAAGACATTGTCTCTAAAGTTGTCTCGGTTGTTCAAGTGAAACTCTAAGACGTGCCGTGTTGTTCTGTTTGGAGTGATGAGGGGTTTCTCCTGCAACTCTTCCTTTTTCAACATTTAACCTGCTAATTGAGGCTTGTAGTCTGAAATGAAACTCTTGAGGGCGGTTGTCATTTCTCTGAGTATTGCACGGTCTGATATTGGGGTGAACTTCCTTCCAGTCAAGAAGATTGGCAGCTATCCTGAAGGTTTTCCACTTGGGAATAATCTTTGTCTCTGTTGGAGTCTAAAAAGCTTGGAATTGATCTTTAGCTCTTATCAGCTGATGAGCAGCAACAGCTGCTTCTCTAGAGCTTTGCTGATGTTTGAACTTTTATAGAGGTGAGGTCTAATTGTGTGAACGCCTCTAAAGCGTTCACTCTACTGAGATCAGTTTTTGTTCCATACGTTTTTGTGCTTTTTAAACCATTCATTTTTCAAAACATTCGGCTCATTCAGGACGTCCCTGCTATGACAGCCGGTTACTGTGAAATGTTTAGTTTTTTAAATATTTTGCTTTGTCTGCCATGTTTTTCTCATTGATAAAGGATGGAGCCACCGTCACATCTTTCAAAGCCTTTGTGCTGTTTGCAACCTTTAACTGCTCGTTTCAGCTTTTTCTGGTTTAGCTTTTTTCAGCTTGTTTATGGTATTTTCAGCTTCCCTCAGCTACTTTTAGCTTATTTCCACCCATTTTAGCTTCTTTCTGCTAGTTTCAACTAATTTAAGCTTTTTTTTTTCTGTTTTCCAATCTACATATCAGCAATCTCTCTGCTAATTTCAGCTTTTTGGATACCTTCCAAAAAAAATTTTTTTTTTTTTTAGCTACTTTCATCTGATTTTCTGATCATTTTTGTTGGATAAAAATATCCTCTATTCATTTTACTTATTCAAAAAAGTCACACTCGAGGACACAAGAAGATTTTTTAACTGGTTTTATTTGCAAGGACAGATTTTCACAACAGGTGACACAGATGTACAGAAGTCCTACATGCATGGAGCCCAGTCACGAGAATCTGCCACGGGCAGCGTGCTAGACTTGTTTTTATAAGCTTATCAGCTCACAGGCAGACTGGTGTCCTTGGCCATCCAGCTGCATGTGCAGTATCAAATCAGCCCCTCTATCATTTCTTTCTGAGTGAGAAAAGAACTCTCTGCTAACTCAAACACATGGTTCATGGGCATTTAACATTCTCAGACATAGTAGTTAAAAACATCCATAAACCTTGATCAAAATTCCCCTGACAATTTTAGTCATTTTAGGCTCAGTTAAGCTTTAAAAATAATCTGCAATTAGATGAACAATTTTTTTTTTACTTTTTTTTGCCAATTATGGCTTTTTACATTACTTTCAGCTTTTTTTTTATTCATGCTAATATTAGCAGGTTTTTGCTACTTTCAGTGTTCATCTGCTCTTGGTTACTTTTTAAACAAATTCAGCTTTTATGTGCTACTTTCAGCTTCATTCTACTTGGTGTATTTCAAGCTTTCAGCAAAGTCAATACAAGCACCTTCACTGCATTTTCGAAGGAAATTTGATTTCTCTAGTTTTTAATTCTCTCCTTTTGTGTCTTGGATTTGTTTAGTTTTTATTTGATACACTGTAACACGACCCGTGTAATTCTTCGGAGGTTTTATGTCTTTTGGGAAGGGTGTAATTTGTTTTTACTGTGAGTTTAAGGTTTGAATTGAGACCCTTCAGACAATTCCGTTCAAATTAATGATGAAGAGACGTTCCTCTTCCTTGTCCGTCATCTTTGAGCCTGTCGCCACACCTTTGCTGCTGGTAGGAACATGATAATCGTAGCCTGTCACATGAGGAGCTTTCAGATTTAAGCTCTAGTTTTTGCTGCCGAGCTGTTAGAAATGTTGAACTGAAATGAATGACATACGAGTCAAAGTGTGTGTTCTGCTCTGAAAGTCAGCCAGCCCATCGTTTTTAAGTCTTTTACTCAGCAGTGTGTGCTCTACCAAAATAAAATACGCTTATTTTTTCTTTATACGCAGCCAAAAAATGGATTTTTCACACCTGTGGGGCTGTGGGTCCCGAGGGCCCGACTCCCACTCAATGCCTCAACTCCTACAGAAGTAGCAACGTCAACGTGACAGTCGGCACCCGGGGGCCCTTCAAAGGCGTTCAGATGTGGCGGGTCCCAGAAACCGGCACCTACAGGTAGGATTGCTGCCTTTAACAGGGATTTATGCAACTAATTTACACTGGAATGGTTTGGATTTTCCTCAAGGGCCTCGTGCGATGCCCGGCCAGTCAGAAGGCTCAAACACTTGAGCTGATGAGCTTTTAACAGCTTTAGTTTACAGCACACACTTGACCTCTGTGCAGCTCATATTTTTTACAGCAAACCAGACTAACGCCCACCTCTACAACGCTGCGCTTCAGTCCTCTACAGAGGAAAAATTCCAGATTCTTGCAGAACGAATCAACTCTAAAGTCAGCGCAGCAATAACACCTGAATCTAAAATCCCTAACCATCCACTTCTGTGACTGTGATAGTACTTTAGAACGTGGAAAAATAGTGTTAACTCTCAGTGTGCCATTTTATCGTTGCAGTCTTTTACAGAGATCGACATTCCTCCTGTGGGCACTCATGAGGCATTTAAACTTGGGTTTGACACCGAACGAAAATGTCTCTGGAAACTGCAAGCCTCCCACGTCCACATAACAAAACAAGCTTCGCACAAAACTCTGAGCCATAAAATTCCCGACAGTGTGCTTTTAAAGCTTTAGAAAACACACAAACGCCTCAACCGGGTTTGATGTGGACCCGTTTGACTGCCGGGGTCTGCATTTGAAGCTGACAAACGGCCACAGAGATGAATATGTGCTCCCTAAGGTCATCATGCAAACAGCTGAGGTAGCTAATGTACTCCAACATCAAATAAAAAAACTCTGAGAGCCGACGGTCGTACCTGATGTAATTCATTTAACGTGACTATTCTTTATTGCTCAGTGTCATGATGGTCTATATGTGACGGACTGTTGGTCAATTTTCAGACGTTCTGATTTCTGAAGAAGCTTCGTTGAACTTGAGATTATTTCTACTAGTCAAAAAAAAGAGCTTTTCTAGTTAAAATAACTGAAAATAATTATCTAGTGTAAGCGAGTTTTATAATGTCAGGGTAATTAGATATATTATCTCTGGAAAAACAATTATCTCTATAATGAAATTAATGACTTTGGGGAAAAAGCATAATCTCAAGAAGAGATAATCTTGATTAAAGGAAGCATTTTCTCAAGATGAAAACTTGTTTCAACAAAACAAGCAACCTTATTTTAAGACAATATAAACTTTGTGAAACTCTTTTTGTTATCTCAGGTTGAGATAATTTTATCTCCTGAAAATTAACACCTTTATCTCAACAGATGCTAATATCTTGAAATATTGAGCTAACAAACACACGGAAACCATCACTAAATGGATATTTAATTATCTTATGATGTGAATTATTTTAAAACAAGTATGACTGTGAAACATTTGCATTAATATCTTAAAAACAAGAATCGTTTTGTCAAAAACAAGTGTTTTATATTAAAGTAATTAACTCTGTCTTGAGGAAACAGTCATTTATAAATCAAGCAGAACTAGTTGTCATGAGAAAACCAGCATAGTCTCAGGATTTAAACTAATCAGTATCTACATATTAAGATAATTAAATATATATATATATATATATATATATATATATATATATATATATATATATATCTTTATTATGAGAGTAACAACATATCTTAAGATAACAAGAAAAAAAAGCACTTTGACTTTTTATTTTAGTGTACTCTCCCAGAAAAGTATATTTAGTGTTTGTGAGACTGCAGCGTGACGTTTTGTGTTTTCAGCCTCGAAGATGTGCAGAAGTCAAAAACTGATCAGAGTCTCTGAGTAACGTGCGCTTTAGTGTTAGTAAATTATTTTAGTTGTCACTAATGAATATGATGGGGTTCTGAACAAGCCTGGAATCTACTTTGATGAAAACCACCAGCATGATTCTCTGACATCTTTGACTTTGAGCGTGTGTGTGTTGAACCTCAGGATCACGGCCTACGGTGCGGCCGGCGGGCGAAGCGTGACGGCCATGAGCAGGTCGCACGGCGTCTACATCACGGGGGACTTCCTGCTCAGGAGGGGGGATCTGCTTCACATCCTGGTGGGACAACAAGGAGAAGATGCCTGCCCCAACGTGAGTCACCACAGCTCTGCGCATCGGCTTTTAGTAGATGTTCAGCTGCAGCAAAAATGTTCAACGCTACAAACAAAACCATAGCTGATGAGATTCATGTGTTTTGTGTCTGCATGTATGCTACAACTAATACCATGGAGGATAAAACGACAAAGGAACACAAACAGGACAGATTAAAAGGTTCAGAAGATATTTTTAAAAAAAACTAGAGGAATTGAATTTCCTGCAAAAATGCAGTATGAGTGATTATTGCTGAAGAACCTGCTGAAAAACAGCTAAAATTAACTAAAAACATGCTTAAATGTAGCTGAAATGGAAGAACAAGCCCAAGTTGGCATAAGAAACCAGAAAAAAATGCACATTTGCGTAATTAGGTTTAAATGAACACACAACTTGGGAAGTTGGCTAAAAAAAAAAAAAAAGCTAAAATTACAATTAAAAAATAGCCAAAAAGTAGCTAAAAATACAGAAAGAAGCTGAAACACAGAAGGAAGTGGAAAGAGCCGAAATGAGCTCCAAAAATGTGGAATTAGCTGAAAATGCAAAAATTGGCATAAAAACAGCTTAGTAGCTGAAAAAAGTAGAAAAAGCTGAAACAAGCAAAAAAAAGCTGAAACAAGCATAACAAGCTTAAATTAGCATAATGAAGTTAATTAGGCTGAAAGGAGCTGAGAATTATGAAAACTTTAATTTATCTGAAAACAGCTGAAATTAACTTAGAAATGCTAACAAGGTAACTGAAAAGGTAGAACAAGCTTAAAATAGCATAAGTAGAAGGAAGACATGCTTGCCCAATTCAGCTGAAAGAAACAGAAATTAGCACAAAAAAGTGTAAATAATCTGAAAAAAAAAAGCTGAAAGTAGCAAAAAAGAAAAAGCAGCTGAAAAGTAGCTAAAAAGGCAGAAAGAACTTTAAATTGCAAGACGGAAGTGGAGAGAGCCCACTTTTGCTGAATTAGGCTGAAAACGTTTAAATGAGTGCAAAATATGTGGAATTAGCTGAAAAAGCTAAAATTAGCATAAAATGGCAAAATCATAGCTGAAATAGCAGAATAAGCTGAAACTTGCAGGAATAAGCTGAAAGGAGCATATCAAGCTGAAATTAGCAGACATAAGTTAAAAGAAACACAAAAATGTTGTGGTTAGCAGAAGGAAACTAGAAGGAGCACAAAACAGCTAAAATGATCTGAAAATGGCTGACAAAAGTTTAGATTTGTAGATGGACGTTGAAAGAAGCTGAACGGGAACAAAATGTGAAAGGAGCGATAAAAAGTTGTAAACAGATCTAAAGATATGAAGGATGGAAAATTCATTTTCTTTGAGAGAAAAAGTGACAGAAAAGGCTAAATATTTCAAAAAGCTAAAGTTGCACCATCACCAAAAGTCATAGCATCCTTCTCCTGATGGAGCTGAATGTTTTGATTTATGATTTGATGAAATCGCACAAAAATTGTGCAATGAGAATTGCGACATCACAATAATATGAACGCTTCATAAACATTCACACTATAAAGAAAACGAGTTATTTTGTTAAAGATCATCCCCATGAAGAATAAATCTTTTCAGCTTTAATAAACATGTTTTGTTCCAAACTTTGATGGTATTTTAACGAGTTAATTCTTCTCTCAGGGCAACAACCTCCTGTGTTTTTGGAGAGTCTTCTTTTTATTCAACTTTGCATCATTTTTCTCTGAACTTATCTCTGCTCATTACAGCAAAACATTGTTTCCTCCTTCTTCTCTCTGCAACGTTTGTTTTCAAATTTTCTCATTTGTGAAGCTGAACTTGGTGAGAACGAACAAACACGAGATTTCTGCTTGTGACGAGTCGAAGCTTATTTGAGCAGATTCGCAACTCAGAAACACGGACATCATTTCAAAGGCCTTTCACACAATAACAGAAAACGGTTAGCTATATTTTAATGTTATTAGAGGAGATCATTTATTTCAACTTCAGAACGTTGACCAGTTGGTTGAAGTAGCCAATGACAAACTGACTGATCTTAAACTTTGGTTAAATAAATACAAAAATAGCAAAATAACATCTTAAAACTGAAACCTGGTCCTAATCTGCTCATCTTCGTTCCAAAATTGTGCTCCAGTAGATGATGTCATGAATGTTGGGGCAGCTGCCAAGTTCTTTGTTTCAGTTTATGAGCTATTTAGCTCATTTGGGGGCGAGACGGTGGCGTCTTGTGCAGCTGGTTCCCCTCAGAACCTGTAAATTGGGTTTGTGGGTTGTTACTGGCGAGCCGTGTTCGTGTTTCGTCTCCGTATTCCCACCTGCCTGGTTTGTGTTTTAAAGACGGGGTCCTGTCTGCTGCCATCCAGTCCTTACTTTTTATCGCTGCAGAGGTGCTCTGCACAGACATCACAGAGGGAGTCGCAAAGTTTAACCGAACCGTTTAAACTCCCAACACCTCACCTGGATATTCCCTTCAGAGATGATGACAGAATGCACACATCTCGGTTGTGTTGCTCTCTTCCCCCTCCGAGACACAAATTTAGCTTTAAAACGTGAGAAGAAGCAACAGCAGAGTGAGCTGAGAGGGGGGAAGATTGAGACCGAAATCATTTGAACACGCTGCTTTTCAGCGTCTCCGCCTGTCAATCAGAGTCAGCCTTCCTCCTCGTCCTCTCTTTAAGGCCCTTTAGAGTTTCAGCTCAGACAGATCGGGGAGTTTCAGCTCAGACGGAGCGAGAGAAACAAACTTCTGCCTCCTTGCTCTCCAAGTAGGACTGGCTCCAGGCTGTTCAGCATGATAGCACACACAAGGCAGGCACATCAATTTATGCAATCTCAGCTGGGGAAGAGTCCCTGCTTCTGACATCGTGCGCCAACAAAACGTCCTGCTTCATTTTCATAAAGAGGCCGTGACTCCTGGGAACGGAGTGCAACAACAAAAAGATGAGCAGCAAAACGCCTTCATGTAGGGCTGAGCAGGAAATCATCCTTTTCTGCAAATCCTTTTTGACTCTTCCAGCCAGCAGCCCAAGTGACGAAACACGCCTGCTGTTTTTGTCAGGCGTCAGTCCTGCGACTGTCCGATTAATTCACGATGAGATTAGTAAAAACTAAAATCACCCCGTCACTGTGCGAGTGTTTCTGCTGTTTTGATGCTAAACTCTTGAACTCGGAGCAGCCGCTCAGGCTTGATGCATCCATCTGACATCCATGAGGAGAAATTCTTCTGCAATCTGACATCTTTCTCCTCGCTTGCAGTCCAACGCCGTCCTGAATAAAATCTGCCTGGAGCAGAGCGGCCCGACGGTGAACACAAGTCAAGTGAAGGGAGGCGGAGGAGGAGGTGGAGGAGCGACGTATGTGTTCAAGGTAAGATGGGAAGAAGCCCTGCAGCACTGTTGTTCTTCTCCCGACATTAGACCGGACATTTAGAAGCAGCTCTCGCGGCAAGTTCCTGAGACATTCTGCAGTAAAATATAAAAAAAGTTCCTTCACAGCCAGAGCTCTCCAGTATTACAATAAGGTTTATCAGTTCACAGACTCTTTACTTAAAGGATTGATGCATAAAAAATATATATTTGTAGTTATGAATGTACTGAAATGTATATTCGCCTGTTTCAAAAACATGTTTGTTAGCTAGTTTCTGCAAAGTTGTCCTGTAAAGTTGGGTTAGACTACAAAAAATATAGGATTTTTATACTGTTTGAGCATTTTCTGTTTAAGGATCTCCTGAAAAAATATCACTTTCAGCTTTAGTGTGTATTTTTATTTATTGTTGTATAAAAGTCCTAATAAAATGTACTGAACTGACCAGAGCTGCGCTCATATCGCCATTAAACACAATTACTGTAATATTTATGAGCTAATTGAATCCTGCAGCCTGCATGATAATTAACTAATTATAACATCTTTAATTTTTTAACAATACATTTCATTCTCCCATGACTCTGTTTGACATTTCTCAACCTGATTAATTACACCTCATCATGCATAATTGTATTTATTTTAAACCCCACGGTAAGTACTCAGTTTGTTTAATGTTCAAACATCGGTAAAATAAATCCCTGAATTAGGATTCGGTGTAAAATTGTAGTTTATTCTAAAATGTTACTTGATCCAAAAATGAACTGTTTTGTTTGAAGATAACAATCCCAGTTTCTTAATGAATAAAATTAGATATAAAGAGACAAGAACAGCCCGTCTGCAGCTGTGGTTCTGGAAGCTGATTTAAGAAAATAAAGTTCACTTTGTTGCTTTTCTATGAGTTAACTGAAGCAATTAGGCTTTTAGCTTTTTTATGATGGGGAGTTTAAACAAATTTACTAGTTTAACATTAAACATTACTTTATTCACTGTGTGCCAAAATGATTGAAAAACTTTGATTAAAACTGGAAATGTAAGACTGACTCTGGTAAATCCATGTTCCTTGTTAAAAGATTTTATTAAAGAAAATTTGTGTTTAAACGTAGCAGAGATTTTTTTTTTTTTTTTTTGATAATCTACTGTAGCATTTTATAACAACCCAGTTGATGCTGCTGCCTCAGGTGGACAGGGGCGTGTACATCCCTCTCATCATCGCTGCCGGCGGCGGTGGTCTGGGCTACAGCAGCCAATCAGAGACCCAGCTGGAGCAGATGGACTACGACCTCAGCCAACCAGGACGCAACGGGAAGTCTCACGCCGCAGGTACACAACAACGCAGCTGTCAGGGAAACATTGGAGAAAGAAACATTTCCTGAAAACGTTTTAAATCAAATAAAATTTCCTGTTACATTCCACCTCTAAATGTTGCTTTCTGCTCATGCAGGCAGAAATAATTTGATGTTTTTCACTTCCTGGTTCATGAAGACAACAAAAAGAAATGTTTCTTAACTTTCTGTTAATTTTATCTGAAAGGGACCAGATTTCATATCGGGATCAAAAAGTGGCCTAAAAACCTGTCACAGATCAAATAGAAGGACAAATCAAGACTTTAACGTTAAGATTGAACTGATTTATTTAATTTGGAAGCAAATTTAGTCCCACAGAAGCTCAGACAGCGGGGAAGTGTTGATTCTTTATTTTTGTTACGGCGGGTGGTGAAATCTCAAAATCTGTTTAATGTGATTCATTTTGAATGAGGTTGTGTGGAGTAGCACTGATTAGTCAGTGTCTTACTTGCAGTAAATCTCATTTTGGAAGATCTGACAAACTCAGGCGGCTGATTTAAAGTGAATCTGCTCACGTAGCCTTCAAAACAGATGCCGCATTACATATTTTTACACCTCCTCGCTTTAAAGTGAGACTGTTGTTTACTTTGTCGCTACTTTCTCAACCAAACAACGAGCGCTGAAGCTGCTAATGCGTCCTGCTGCAAATCCACCAGGAGGTGTTCTGACTCATGCATATATTCTCATATATCCTCCAGAATAAAAACACTTCCTTGAGTTTCTTTGCTTCTGTTCCTCCTCAGGTTTACTGTCAGTACTTGTTGTTTCCAGCCGCCTCAGCGCACGTAGTTAGCAGACGTTCGACTGTGGCGTAAACAAAGTAAACAACTGTTCTGCACAAAAGTGGCAAGGTGTGAAAATATCTAACGCAGCGTTGGCTTTCAGGAAGGCCGTGTTTACTGACACCTCCAGCAAAACCCCAATAAATCCCTGTTTCTGAGTCGTGTTTCACTCAGACTGCAGCAGATGATTTGAGCTCTTCCTGTTTTCTTTCAGGTCAAATCTTTTTTTAAAATCTCCTTTTTAACACTTTTAAACAAATCAAGGTGATCGTTTGTTAATTGGTGGAATAAAAATGCTGCTCAGACCCACCTGGTCACTGGTCTCGTATACAAGATCTTTTAACGTCCTGTGTTTTCACTGGTGTGTGTTTCTTGCCTCGTGAAAAGAAATGAAATGTGCTCTGGTGACAGGTGGAGGTGGAGGTTGGAACGACAGCGCTCCTGTCAGCCAGGGTGGCAGACCCCTGGTGCTGGGGGGCCAGGGGGGGCAGGCCTGTCAGAAGTTCTGGCAGACCCGCGGTGGCTTCGGGGGCGGCGGGGGCGGATGCATGTCGGGCGGCGGCGGCGGAGGCTACAGAGGTTAGTCACAAAAAGTCCATTAAATACCTGCCTTGAGTGCACCAAGCTTCACATGAAGGGTTTTTGCTGTGAAAAGATATCGAAATATAATATAAAATATTATATATTATAATATTATAAAATCTTATGAAAAAAACATACCTTTTTAAAATTATTTTACTTTATTTTATGTGTTGCTGTGTGCTTTGTTTGTTCTGCTGTGCACCACTTTGGTTGGCCTTGTTGCTGTTTAAGTGCTCTTTATATAAAGTGGTACTGGTATGATAAATATTTCAGCCTTTTAAATTTTTATTTTAAAAAACTGCTTTAAACTGAACATTTTATTTTTCCATTTCTTGTTCGGTTTTGTCAGGCTTGACATGTTCTAAATAAAAAAGATGATCTTACAGATCGATCTGACTGAATCATGTCACTTTTTAAACTAATAAATCATGTATAAATCACTGATTGTCTTTTTTTTAATTTATTTAACTTAAGGTCAAAAATATTCCTTGAAGGAATGCATACAAAACTTATACAGTAAGATCATGTGATGATGAGAAACCAGCTTGTAGCTGCAGCCTTAAAGAAATGCTCACTTGTGAAAAATGGATTAATCCAACATCTTTTTCTTTTAATCCAAACGAGAGTCTTAAAACATAAAATCATGGAGGATAAACAATGAATGTCGCGTGTGATTGACAACATGAACCGACCACGTGCGTTAAAGTTATTGTCCGTGTTTCCAGGCGGTAACACCTCCCTGTATGACAACCCAAAAACTGATGGTGATGATGGGACGTCCTTCCTCGGCCCAGACGGCGAGCCCTTCCTTTACCCTCTGAAAGGTAACGTCTGAGGCGGGGCTTTAAAATACAGATGAGTCAGTTTGATTTGTTTTTACTACAGAGAGTGATGTTTTTACTTTTCTATTACTGGAGATTTGAGAGCAATCACAGATGTGACCAAAAGATGAGTTTATTTAAAAAGAATTAGCTGCCGTCGGTGATTCATCATTTGTTGACCTTAACCGGCATTCATCATCTGAGGACGGGAATTTTCCTCCCGTTTTCTGCCAATTTAGGAGATTTTTTTTCTTCTTTTAAATCAGATCAAAACAAAAGAATGAAGAGGGAAAGCCTCGGGAAAGACATATAAAAGAATCAAAAGTAGATTATAAATTCGGTCAGCGATTTCCTACAAAAAGACATAAAACACAGATTTGTCCAGTAGTTTATCTGCTGCTGTTGATGCTGCTTGAAACTGAGGAGAGGATGCGTTTTGACCAGAAGTCCTTAATTAACTTCAGAAATATAAAAAAGAAACAGCTCCTCGTGGTAATCATGTAAGAAACGATTCAACATGCCTTGAAGTTAGCTTTGAGGAGGAAAACTACCACACAAGTATCACGTCAACACTCACTGAGCTCCAAAGGCAAAAGTCAACTTGTTTGACTCGTATTTTTATTTAGTTGAACTTTAGCGCATGTCAAGCCACAAGTGATCTAGCTAATGGTTTTTACAAGAGCTTCATTCTGGAAAACCTGCTGTGTTCGAGCTCTTTGAAAGTTTTCTCTGATAATTAATCAACTTTAGTTTGAGTAAATGTGTCTTCACAGTCCAGTTCTTAAGGCTGATTATGTGCGCAATCAATAATCAATGATTCTTTTAAAATAAAATGTGCAAAACATCCACCTGATCGGTGTCTATCAGCTGATTGTTTGGTGTAAAAACACACAGAACCCAATGATTTTTGTAAAAAATAAATAAATAAATAAAATGATGAACTGACAAATTTGTTTTTACAACTTTCTCTTAATAGGACGGTAATGACGACAAAAAAGGAAAATAAATAATTAAAATAAACGTTATTTGTGTGGTAACGTCTTCCCAGAATGCAAATGGTTAAACTCTGAGCTCTGTACATGATTTATTGAGACATAGTTTAATAAAAAATAAAAAAATAAAAACTTCAGTCATCTGGTTTACAGTGTTACAACATGTGCAAAAGTCCTAATCAGATTTTCCGAAGTGTCCTTTAAATTTCTTGACACAGGATTAATTTTAAATTAGTTGCCAGCTGGTTGTCACAAACACCCATTTTGTTTCCATTTCTTCATTTGAATCTAAAAATATACAGAGAACACAGTTGGACAGACAGAAAATAGGATTGTAGTGTTTTAAAGTGCAAATCTTACATACAGTAAGAGATGATGCATCTCAGGTTCTGTCAGATCTTTAGTGGATTACTTCCTGTTTCTTAGTGGCTTTAGACACTAAACATCTGCTTTTAGGCCAAACACTTCATCTTTGTCCACGTCTCATTATTTCTGAATGTGCACGGTGCAACGTGTTGTAATAGGTTTCAAAAACTAGAGAGAATGAGTGGGAAAACGCTTTTAAAAGACCTTCTTGATAACTTCAGACCGCTTTAATAAAAATTAGAAAACAGTTTGTCTGCTTGAGAAGAAAATATGAAGAAGCTAAAAGTTTTCCTGAAGTTTGACAGTAAGTGTGGACACACTGCTCATTAAATCCACTGTTTGATTGTTGCAAACCTTAAACGCATGAACACCAAGTTCACTCAGGTTTCTGTGCACGCCTCTTCTCTTTTGTGCCTCTTTCAGAGGACCACCGCCCCCCCCGTGAAACTGCATCTGTTGTGCAGACAGGTTGCACTACAAATATTTGTAAAACCCAGCAGAGAAGCCGTCATTATTTTCTTCTTTCGTGCAAAAAAGTGCCGTGGATTTGCAGACAACATGGCCACGTTTAGAGATGCAGAACGCAGAGCGGGACTCATTAGTATGCAGCGAGCAGCTGGACTAGGGACATTTGTATTCTTCCTCAGAAACCTTTCCAGTGTTTCTCGCTTAGATTTATGTATTTGTACTTACAAGAGATAAGAGAATCATGGGAGAAAATAGATTCTGCAGATGAGTGCATTGGCTTTGCTTACTAAACAGCACGTGCTTTTTCCTCACAGAGCCGTCACTAATTCACATAAGGCTGCTGTGTCCCCGCTCTTTGTTGTGCACAATTAGGAGAATTAGCCCCTTCATGTCCAAACAGAATTTATATTGCTGTGAACGACTTGCGGCAGGAGGCTGTAATCCTGTGGAAGGGACGAGTCTGCAGATTTAGTTCCAGAAAAAGATCTGAGCACAGATTGTGTTTCTGGTTCAAACACCACCCATCGGGGTCAGCTGAACAACTCGCTGAGCTGCAAACATCCTGAGCACAAACTGCAGAGAACGCTCGTGAAATTCAACGTTCGGAGGTCTCGCGCACAAATATCACGACTCCAACAAACACGACGGCATCACTAATGACGAATGTTTGCATAAATATAAAGCTCGCGTTGCTCCTGAACCCTGACCGAGCTCGGCTTCTGCCAAGCCCTTTGTAGATCAGAATTTGCTCCAAATGAGTGGATTTAAATCCATGCCTATTTAAATGAGCAGAACGTGCAGCTTTGTGACTAATGCAGCCCTTTACAGTCCAGTTTTATCTGGCTTTATATGTAAAAATAAACATAAACTTGTTACTCTTTGGTGCAAACTTGCTCATTGCTGCAATTTTATGCAGGTGTAAAACGTCTACTGCTGCTATTCTGTAAAACATTAATTTGTTAAAAAAAAATCTGTTTTGAATTAGCTTTAAGATGCAAAGAACCTTTATTTTTCTATATTTCCTGCATAAGAACATGCATTTAGCTATAACCAGTGGCGATTTTAGCCTCTTTTGGGGGGTGCTGAAGCACCCCTAAATTTGAACTCGCCACCCCTGAAAAATTAAGAAACCATCATTAAGATTTTGTAAAGAAACTCATTTCTCAAACCTTAAATTCACCAAAATATTGAATACATTTTGAATAAATGATAACCGTCTTAAACGAGTCGGTAAAATATGATTTTTTTTTTTATTGCACGAGCAGGATGTCAACGCCACCTGTCAATCAGTCCAGTAGTATTGTCAGCAACTGACCAATCTGCAACCTCGATTTATCCTGAAGTGAAACAAGCGCTCGGCAGTCATAGGGATTTCGTGAAAATTTATCAGAAAACGCGGTTAAACGTCAGTGGAGAACAAATAATTCAGACAGTGTTAGCTTGAGCGTTTAGAAGGCCATAATACTGTTTATTTCATTTCCAAAGTCTGGAAAAATGTCAAATTTGGATAAAGCCCTGCAGCTGACCGCATGAGCAGCAGAATCAGCAATGATAAAAAGGAGATGGTTGGTGTTTTCCAGGAGCTTAACTGGTTTAAAGTGGCAGGTATGAGGGTTACCCCCATTAAAGAACATCAATATCCAGTTTAGGGTTCATTTATTTGCTGTGTTTCTTCTGGCAATACACACGGCAGTAAATGAAGAAAGTGCAGGTAAATGCTCAAACGCAAAGTTCTGTTTACACAATACACACGGAGCGGTGCGTTCACAAACATCGGAAAAGCTGTGATTCATTTAAGAGCATAAGGATTATGAAACTTAGAAACAAGCTATAACTGTGATTTGGCGCTATATAAATAAACAGAATTGAATTGAACTAAACAGAACTTAGTAAACAAGATAACTACACATAAACAATGTGGGCTTTCTAACAAGTAATAAACAGGAAGTACCACATTTTCGTCTGTACGAAGGTAACTGCAAGTAAATCCTCCATTTTTGGGGGGGTCATAATTAGGATACTTAGTGGTTAAATTAAAGGTTAATGCTTAAAACTAGTTGTGCTTTGTTTGGAGTGTTTTAAATAGAGAGATAGCTATGTTGCAGCTTCTGGTTGCATAAGTTTATTTTTTGTTTATGATCTGTTAAAACTAAACATATTTTATGCAAAGTGTTTATTAGGTTGTGTACATGCTTTATATGTATTTATATGTATATGCTTTAAATGCTTTTAAGGACTGTTAATTGTTGTCTGTACCTCATTTGTGTTTTTTTTTTTTTTGTCTAAAACAGATTTCTCGTAAATGCGTCCTCATGATTCAAAGAGACTAACCTGTACAAATAAAAGTTGAACAAATTAATGTAATGTAAAGCGGAGGGCTACGCCTGTAGCATCTTAGCCAGCACATCTGTATTGCACGCCACTAGCTTAGCACTACTTCTCATTGCTCTCTAATAGTTATTGAATCAAGTATTTAATTATGTAGGTAAACGTAGATGTTTAACAACCCACTAAAATATACTGGAATGCAGGAAATGGCACCTACTTTGTTCAAATACTTTCTTGGGGAGGATCCTCAGACGTATTTTTCTCCCCCACCCCAGCCATTTTACAAATAGTTCGGATATCAGTGGCCATGCGTTATTCAAACTACAAGTCATTGTCAACACTGGGGGCTGAGAACCCCTAAAGAGCAGTTTCTAGAATCACCCCTGGTTATAACAAACGTCACTGTTGAACAGCGTTGGGTTGAATTGACATAATCTGTACGTCCTGTGCAACATTTTAAATTTTACTTACATTTCTATGAAACTTTAATGTTCTGTTTTTTTTTTTAAGCATACAGCATCTCTTGACTACAACTCCCTGGCAGGAACAGGTGTCGTATCTCAAAGGGACTAAAAAAAATCAGGTTAATTAAATCAATAATCCAAAGAACTCTGTTGTGAACCAATCGTATTATATTAGACAACTTGAGATTCCTGCTGACATCTCTGAGTCTATGTTCTCGGTGTAGATTCAGGGCCTAAATCACAAACTGAATAATTCAAAACTATTTCTAACTAAACTTGGCATTGTGCCAGCCTGAAGAGTGACGTCAGCAACTTTCTGTGACAATATAACTTTAAGAGACGTCGTCTTGAATTCTGTACACAGATGCACTTTGAGCTGTTTTCTGCTTTCCTTACGAATGCGTCGTTTGAATAATGGATTATTTCTTGTCTGCAACTCGTTCCAGATCTTCCTCAGTTTGATAACATTTACTCAAGACACACGTCTGACATCCAGACTGAGCTACATTTTGTCTTCTCTGAAAAGGAGTTTAAAAGTCCCGATCCGCTGCTTGTTGTTCATTAAGCTTCAACCCACTGCGTTTACGTAAATGTGAGGACTGAGTGACGAAAAATGACGGAAAGGATCTGAGAAATATAATTTCACTGGAATAAATTCCTGTAAACTACATCAGAGCATTAAACTTTTATTCCACAAGGAGAAATCTCAGATTTATCATGTATTTATTTGAGAAGGGATGATGTACATAAGTCAGAGACTCAGAGTCAGAGTCAGAGATTCTTTATTGTCATTCGCACCTCATGTGGTACATGTGGTGGAGCGAAATTATGTACACGGGGTCCCAGTTACATCCAACAATAAAATGTATAAGAAAAACAGTAAT